TTAAAACTTAGGGGACAAGTCTTTAAAATCAATAGTGTATGTTATGTTTAAAATAGAGGCATATATAAATTTATTTCTGAAATTTGGGTGTTTACCCCTAAGACCTGTCTTTGGGGAAATTGCTGACATGACAACTTATTGTCATTTAGAATCTAAGTACTTAGGAACTTCCCTCTTACCCTCTACCTGAGTGCCCATACCATAAGCCAGCTGTCTTTTACACTTTTTTTTTTTGGTAGCCAAGTCTCTTACAGTCTTTTTGTCACTCAGGAATATCTATTCTAAATGCTGCAGGAGAAACATAACCCTCTCCATTTCGTCAATAAATTTTGAGGAGAAGAGTTTGAACGTAGAAAATTACTATTTCTGGGTTGTTAGTAAAGTTCACAATTCAAAGCTATCCCTATTTCTTTCTAATTACCATGGATAGTCAAGAGATGGCAAGACTGGTTTACAGTATCAAGCAACACATACTGTATTTGTTATTCTAAAGAAATCTAGGTCATTAAATATGAAATGTCCGATTTTGAATCAAAAGTGTAGTTTATTATATCTCAAACTAGTAGCAGTACAATTAATCAAAGTATGCACTTAAACTATCAACACAATTTTACCATCTTAATGGTAGCTTATTTATGCTAGCAGCGAAGAAGCCTGGAGAGCAAGCAGCAATGAAATCTCGAAAGGCGTTTTCCACAGCTTGTTGAGAAGTGAACAATTTTCCTTGCAAGAAGTGGTCCAAAGCCTGGAAGTGGTAGTCAATTGGTGCAAGCTCTGGTGAATACAGTGGATAACAGAGAGTTTCCAAGTCCAGCCTCTGTAGTTTGAGCAGCGTTGTTTGTGCAACATGTGGTTGAGTGTCGTCTTGCAAGAGGATTGGCCCATCTCTATTGACCAATCTCAGCTGCTTGATCGCAAGCATCCTCATCATTTTGTCTAATTGATTGCAGTAGACATCCACTGTAATGGCTTGACCACGTTTCATGAAGCTGTAGTGGATAATAGTAAAGCGCTGGACCACCAAACAGACACCATTAGCTTTTTTTGATGAATATTCTGTTTTGGACTGTGTTTTGGCATTTCATCTTTATCCAACCATTATGCTAAATGCTTGGATTGTCAAAAAGAATAAAAGAATCCATTTTTCATCACACATAACACTACAGTGTAGAAATGGTTCTCTTTTGTCGC